TGTGTGGCTTGACTGGATTCGGCTGAGTGTTGGGATTCTCTTACACAGTTGCCATCAAATGACAGTTGGGACATTAATGGCTTAAATAAGCTGAATGTCCAAGATGGATCATTCTTCCCTGGCAACTAACATCCTTTTTTAAAAGTATTTTATTGAGTCTTACAGAGAGGAAGGGAGAGAGATAGAGAGCTAGAAACATCTATGAGAGAGAAACATCGATCAGCTGCCTTCTGCACACACCCCAAGGGAGATGTGCCCACAACCAAGGTACATGCCCTTGACCAGAATCGAACCTGAGACCCTTCAGTCCACAGGCCAACACTCTATCCACTAAGCCAAACCAGTTAGAGGGCAACTAACTACCATTCTTAATATCCCTCAGCCTGGCCTATAGCTAAAGTGACTGTATGGACCATGTCACCTCCATGTGGGCTGGGTTTTCATAGAATTGTGGCTGGGATCTGAGAGGCTGCATCACAGCAGTAAGTTCTGAGAGATTGGGTTAGAAACGACAAGTCTTATGGCCGAGCCTTCCTGTTGGCCAGAAGCAGGAGAGGGCCAGCACTCATTGCCGTCGGGAATGCTGCACAAGGACATGGTCAGAGGGAAGACTAGATCCTACATGAAAAAAGCATCAGCATCTTAGTATTGCTTCTTACGGATATGCTTTACTGAGTGGTTTAAAATTGTCCAGATGTAGATGTATACATTTGGATGTAGTTTATTGTGTTTTTTTTAATTTTTCCAAAAATGAGAGCATAAATCTTGTCATAATATTTATGTGAATATTGTTTGCTCAGGAATTCATGTCAACTTTGTGTTTTTATTTTCAAGGATGGCTTTAAAAATCATGTGTTGTTATTGGTTTCAGGATCTCCTTAAAATAATACCAGTTTTCTTACTATTCTCTCAGATAATATTTATAGCTTGCTACATAATAACCATGAAAATGAAATCACATACTATATAAAAACAGGTAGCATGGTTAGGTGTGCCTTTAGAGCCAATACTTTTTAGCTTAAGAAAATTATCTTCTCCCATTTTCTAACATTCACTATTACCTTGTAAGTATGTTGTAAAGATTAATAACTTAATTAACAGGCAAGTGGAGGGCATTTTAAAATTCTCAAAGAAATGTGATAAAAATGATAATGATGTAATGATTTTTTTCCCCAAAGAGAATTGACTTCTTTTGAAGTAACTGATGAATTGTGCCTAAATTGAGTCACTTCTGAAATGGTAATTCCATTCTTCATAGTATAAAGGTATATCTTATTCATATATTCTTAGAAAATTTTAGCTTTACTATTTTCTTGATGAAATCTTGGTGATTTGCAAACCTTTGGAGGACCAAAGTAATTGATAAATTTGGTTTGTAAGTAATGTGAATGGAAAACAACACATCTGCTTTATTAGATCACAGTTTCTTTCATTCTTCGTGGATGGATTTAAATCCCCACCCTAACTAGCATGCTTGTCACCTCACAGATGGAGGTCTCTCACTGTAAGCTCATCTGCTCACCCAGTGGAGAGGCAGTGGTGGGTGCCTGTCTGTGCCTGAGTACAGATCATCTAATAAAAGGGGAAAGGCTGAGCCACACACAACCAGTGTTTCTCCCTAAACTCAATAGCTAAGTCACTAATGTTTCTGAGATCATGAATGGAGGAGAGCCTAGAAGGTATTTTCCTAATACTTACAAATAAGCAAATTGCCCAGGTATGATAAAGAAAGTAGGCATATTGGGAGAAGAAATGATTTTTAATGTTATTCTAAGAACATACATTTAAGAAGACTTCAATTATAGAAAAAGTAATAGTTTTATTAGATGGAGATTATTTTTTCATACTAGAGGTCCGATGCCCAAAATTTTTGAAGGGCCTTGGCCTCAACTCCACCATGACTGGGGGCCTCTGCCTGCTCTGCTTTGTCTGTAAAGAAGGATATTGGAAGGATGTTCAGTCTAATTAGCACACTACGCTTTTGTTATTCTACAATAGATTTCTGTAGTTTACAAATTGATGTTTTCTTTAATATATAGTCAATTCATAATTTGAAAAACCAAAATTAGATAAAATTCTCCCATGATTGCATTTGAAATAGTGACTGCATTTGAAGTAGCATTTGGGCTTTCTAAAGTTTTCTCCTACTTAAGTTGTTATATTATTACTTATCACTATAACTTGCTCTTAATATAAGGATGTCAAAACAGGAAGCAAATGTATGTCAAATAAGTCTGAAGCCATATAATTAAAAATGTTTTATAACAGCATATAACTTTCTCCTTTCCATGTGCCATGATTAAAGGAAACAATCAGCTAAGATTCAAAAACTAAGAAGATCAGTGAGAATCTCATTATCCCTAGGTGTTTGCTTATAGATTCATTTTTCCCTTCAATATTTTTTTAAACAAAAATTTAAAATATTCTGAATAAACTAATGATTTTTTTTTACCCCTGGCACACCTCACTTGTAGATATTCTTTTCACTAAATGCAACTTCTAAAGGAGTTTTTTAAAAAAAGCCTATGGCAAATTAACTTTTATTTAGTCCTTTGTCAAAAAATATCCGATTCCTTTTGTAAAGCACTGCCTGAAGAATTTAGATACAGTATATACTTCCACTTGTGTTTATCTCTCAAAATATACTGAATTTTAGAAATGGAAATCCAATCTAATGGTCAAATGTTAACCGTGTGGAGATTTAGAAATCATTCAGAATTTGATCTTTGCATTATTTTATTTGACATGATAAGTATAATTATTTGAAATGATAAATATAATAAAGAATCAACCGTAACGTTTTAAATATTAAAAAGCATTTTGTAATTTATTTAGGACACTCTCTTTACTTTGTAAAACTCAGCTGACTTTTCCAGTATCACATGAATACTAAGAGTTCAAAACCAGGGTTTCACTCTTGGGCATTTTTTCCACTCTGTACAATCTCCTTTGGCCAAGGAACTCAGTGGTAAGGGGTAATAAAGTGTCTTATATGTGCATTGCAAGGGAGGAGGTGTGAATATTAGGCTGAAAGGCAAAATGTAAGCACAGAGAAGATGGATTGATCACTAATCTGTGATTTAGGGAATTTGTGCTCAGTCCATTTCTCGTGAATCATGGATGTTAATGATTTCCAAAAGATGAATGTTAGGTTTTCATTAAGAATAGCAGCATATTCTTATTATTTGGACTTCAAAATGTAATGAGACAGTTGCTAAAGAAAATCATCTAAATTTCAGTTTAAATGTCTTTTTTCTAGCCTGACCTTCATCATAAATATATGGAGCGCATGTTGCTCTGAGGATCCAGCAGCACATACCTATGAGGGTTGATTTCAGTGAGAAGGATTATGCTCCCAAATGCCAGAGCTGCCAGCAGCCAGCTCTGCGAAGCTGCTTTGGGACATTGTTCCTAAAATTATTGCTTTTAGCAGATGGCTTTTTCACAAGTGCGAATGATTCAATACTTAAAATGATGAAAAAGATGGGACTTTGGGGGGTGAAAGACACTTACAATACCCAGCTGTTGAAAGCCTTATTGATATAAAATCTCAATAGTTAAGACACTAATGGGAAAATATTTCCTCTACCTCTTTCCACAAAATGCTTCCCCCTACCCCAATATATGTATATATTAAGAATCATTGAGGGTATTTTGAACTATGATTGAAAGAGTTTTCTCGTTTTTTACAAGTACTAGGCTTTTTGTTCTCATATGGGCACTAATTTATTACTTTCAGATTGTAATATATTCCATGACAAATGCTTCTGAGACAATCGTGGGTTCTCGGATGAATTCTGGAGCGCTGGTGGAGACAGTAACGTGCTAATTAAAATGCACCCGGAAAGTGTCACTCTGGTCAGGACTTCAAAGATGGTTAAGACAAATTAATATTGGTGAGCCCAAGAGATATATTATAAATTACTCGTTATGCTTCCTTTATTCCTTTCAAGGACAGTTCGCCCCCTGCAGACATAACCGATCTTTTAAGTTTCTTATTGTCTCCTCCTGAAAAGGACTTTTTAATTCACTGCTTAGCAACTTCAGGTGTATTTTTGAGGCATTTTAAATTTTGGAACCCCCAAAACATGGCATACCCTCAATTTAAAAAATTATGTGGGGAATTAGAGATGAGGAGAAATATAAAAGGAAATAAGTTGTATTTTAGAAAAAATGTGGTAGGCAACTTAAAATCATGACTTTTGATCATTACACTTACCAAATGATTTGAAAAGGTATTATTTTTAAATACAATTACTAGTGTCAGAAATACTCATTGTAAGAAATGGCTAACTATTGGAAGATGGCAGTTTAAAGTTAAGTTTACTATTATTTGTTATTGGTATTCTTGGAAATATTTTTCTATGTTAAAACAGTTACGAGAATGGTCATACAATTGTGAATACTATTCTCTGGAAAAGCACAGATGATGACAAATATGTTTCTTACTCTAAGAACTTGCCAAGTGGAATAGCTCGTGTTCCCAGAGTTGAGCAGAAAGTGAAGAATATAAATGGGAAAGAAAAGATAATAAGAATGGGGCTATGAAAGAATGTGCCTGTATTAATCGTTGAAACAAGTGGGGCAACATCACCCAGTGATCATATGCTTAGTATCTGGTATCAGACTACCTTCTTTCTCTACTCTTTCCAGTTGATTAACTGTGGGCACATGAGTTAATTTTCTTAAGCTCAGTTTCCCACTTATAAAATGGAGAATATGACAGTAACTGACTTACAGGATTTTATAGGAAGGAAGTAAAGCAAGTGATATAAAGGACTTAGCTCAGTGTTTGGCACAAAGTAAAGGCTTAGTAAACATTTGCTTTATTAGGAATAGGCAGTCCCTTTCTTACTTGAAATGTGATTGACATAACATGTTAGTTTCAGGTGTACCGCATAATGATTGAGTACCTGGATTTTGTGAAGTGATTGCCACAGAAAGTCTAGTTAGCATGTATTGCCACACATAGCTGCTCATCTTTTTTCTTGTGATGAGAACTCTTCAGATCTGTGTCTTAGTAACTTTCAAATACAGAATTCAGTGTTCCTCACTCTAGCCACCACGCTGTGCGTTTCATCTCTAGGGCCTGCTCCTTTTGTAACTGGAAGCTGCCTCTTTGGGCCCTTCATTCATTTCTCACACCCTGACGTGCAGGCATTTTTGTCCTGTGGCCATCTCCCAAAATACCTTTTGCTTATAACTACAAGGAGAATCCACAGACAAAGGCTTTTAGGGATTGTAGTGTGAGAAAACAGCAACCAGACCCTTTAGCCAAAGCTGTTGTTGGTCGTAGGTACATTCTAGCTGAGAATATTACATTTTCAATAAGTGTGTCAAACTGAGACTTTCTGGTTTTGACTCTGGAACATTTCCCAGATTTCGTAAATTTTTAAGAATCCCTTGGTGAGACTATACTAGTTTATATTATTTTAACTGGACCTAGAGTCCTCTTAATTCTTCATTTTGTACGGTTTAGGTAGAAATGGCAGTAGTCCTATATAGTTAAAGATCACACGGGATGCTTAATGCCAGTCTTTATTTATGTAAATATCCATAAATGGCCTCCTGGAGTTCCTGTCTGTGCATGTGTTCCTGTGTTCCTTTCTCAACCAGACACTCTTTCGAGTTTTGTTCCCAGTGCTGCCAGAGCCAAGTCTGTTTACGTTTTGTATAAATAAGTGTATTTCTTAGAGGTTATGTTTCATTATTCAGCAAGCAAACATAAGAGAATAAAGGATACATTTGCAATAGCGTTTTCTCAGTTAGAGGTTTCAGAGGCACAGAATTATTTATCTTCTTAACCCTTAGGTGAGGTGCATGGACGCCCCAGGGCTATCCCTGCCAGACTTGAGCAGCCTTGGTCAAATTCCCAAACCTGCAGTACACATTTTAACATTTAATGAGATCATGCCAACAGAATCCCCAAAACCACAGGGAACAGCTTAGTATTATCCATAATAATATACCTTTAATTTTGTTATCACATATTCTCTCTCTCTCTCTCTCTCTCTCTCTCTCTCTCACACACACACACACACACACACACACACACACATTCAATAATAAATATATTGGGCTTGGATCTTAATTTTAAGAATACAAATCAACTATAGTTTTTATGAGTAGTAGTTTAAAAAGAGGTTTTGAACACTTACATTAGTCTATAGCTGGGCAAAATCATGTAACACAAAGAGGGGTTAGCTATGGGCTGGGTACCTGACCATACAGGAAGCAAGATAGTATTTCAGTGAAAAACCAAGATTGGATGCCAAGCAGAACAAAGACCTGAGGAAAATCCAGACACTCTCAAGAAAATATATGGGTAATCCGGATGAGAGTTGTCCAAGGAGAGGGAGGTCTTGAGGAATTCTCTGTGCCAAAGGAATTTGGTCAGAGAGTCTCTTCATGGGCTTCTATCTTTCCTGCTTTTGACTAAAAGCATGTCCTAAAGGGCAGTGAGCTAACATGAAATGCCACCCTCCTTCAGGAAAACCTGTTCATGAGTAGGGTGGGGATAGATTTCTTCAGGTCTCGCCAGAGGATGCTTCAAATACACTTCCGTATGCCCTACATGAGGGGATGATGTGTGTGGAGGCAGCATTGTTTACGGAACCTTAGGTGGCAGGTGCTTGTATGGAGAGGAGACCAGCACAGAGGGTGAAGAGGAAGAGCATCATGATTTGGAGGGTATCTGTCTTCACCTGTTAGAGTGTCATTGAAGTGGATCTGCTTGAACATGGTTCTGTAGCACAGGTGACAAGTGTCCCTTTGTGTGCCCGCTCTGTGCTCTATACTCATTGCCGGGGGTGTTAGTTGTAATAGAAAGGGATGGAAAGGCATATTAAAATGTAAAGTTCCATTGCAATGTTAGTGAGGTGTCTTCTGTAATCAAAATAAAACCAAGTCTTTGCATGACCTGCTCTTCACCTAGTGTGTTATTCTGAGTAATATGACTGTATCTAAAAGTAATTGTACTGGGGCAGGGGATGGGTGCAGGCTAGAAGGGGTCAGTGGGGAAATAGGGGACATATGCAATACTTTCAACAATAAAAATTAAAAAACTTTAAGTGACAAAATCAATTTTGGGGAACAAATAAAGGTAATTTTACAAATATTTTCATCGTAAATGTGGTCTTTTAAGGAAATAACAAGAAGGGATTATTTTTGTAATGCAAAGGAAACATTTTTTTAAAAAAATTCTGTTTTGCTACCTTTCCCTCAGAATCTTATAGAAGATTCTTTGAACCCTTCCTTCCTTCTCTCTTGCAAGAACCCCAGAAAATTCTTCCTCTACACTAGCATATCCTTGAGTAAAGCCTTCTCTTATCTCCTCTCCAGTGTCTTCTCCACCAATGGCTTCCCGTACTTTCCAAATTAGCAAAAGAGAGTTGATTTGGTGCCCCCCTATTTTCCCAGTCAATCATCATCTTGACTCTAATTAAAGAGACAGAGATTGAGCTGGGAGTCCGAATTCTCCTTAGAAGAGAAAGGTAAGTGTGAAGACTTTTTCTTTTCTTTTTTCTTATCATATAAGCCAATCCTCAAATACCTAATTTCTTGAGCAAATGAATATATTTTATTGACTCATAAATTGTCCCAGCCTCATTTGAATCATGGCTTCCGATACTGGTTATTTCACTTAGGGCAAGTCAGATAATTTATTTTCTCCTCGTAAAGTTATTAGTCGCTAAAGCATGGATATTGAAAGGATTACATGGGCAACAGGAAAAACTTCTGTTGTTAATGGCCAATAGCTTTCAACAAGAGCTAGTTCCTTTGAATAGGGCTCAGCTTGTGAGAATAATGATGATGAGAATTCATTTCAATGCACACATCTGTTTAGGCACACAAGGCAAGTAAAAAAAATTGTCCAAAGAGATTGGTTAGTTTTACATTTGATTTTGAATTCTATAATGCTCATGCTATGAATCACTTTAATGGGCTTAATATTTAAAAAATCATGGAGTGTATATTTTATCATGGTTTTTGGTAAATTGATTACCCTGTTGGAAGCTGGATATTTTCATGAGATTTTTTTTTCTTGTTTCTATAATTACTTATATTGACAAAATATTTTTAAACATATATGTTTTTATTGATTTCAGAGAGGAAGGAAGAGGGAATGAGAAATAGAAATGTCAGTGATGAGAAAGTTGCCTCCTGCGTGCTCCCCCCACCCCCCCACTGGGGATCAAGCCCACAACCTGGGCATGTGCCCTGAACAGGAACCTCGACCTTATGGTTCATAGATCGACACTCAACCATTGAGTTGTGCTGGCTGGGTGACAAAAGTCTTTTGAACATGACCAATGCAGAACTCTCACTTTGGGTACTATATTAAAATTCTTACCTTCTAAAATTTAAGAATTACCTCGATTCCTATTGACTTTCATTTGCCTTTGCCTCTTTTTGTAGTTAAGCTTAAAAGAGTAATTCTTATAAATGTGACCATTCATGTTATTTCAAAAACATTTTTTATTAGTGTTAAAAGGAAACAATCAACTACTTTTAGTGTTAGCCTAATCTCCAAATTGAGCTGTTCTGGTGTACTTTGCATTAATGTGTTTATATCTGAAAATGAAACTACCTGCTGAGTCAGTGGGAGGAGGGATCCGAAGCCTTGGGAAAGCTTTACCAAGCTTTTTACTTTAATTGAAAAAGTGTTTTACTAGAACAACTAATGGCATATAAACCCCTATCTTTTCAAATTAGGATCTTTGTACCAGTGCACCGGTTAATGATGTGGATTTTGTGATCAGAGGAAATGATAATTTCAAGAGAAACATCAAAAGTGCTTTATTCAAAGTAATGTCCATCGCTAGCTACACATTTCCCCCATCTTTAGGTAATTTGTGGATATCTTCCCAATAGAACTTTTCTTGTTTTGAGGCAAATCATTCAGAGACCAAATTTTCTACTTCTTCATACGTTTTGAAGTGCTTCTCAGAAAGTGTGTGTGCCATCGATCTGAACAAGTGGTCATCTGAAGGAGCAAGGTCTTTTGCAGTTAAGCTTAAAATACTATGGCGGGTGGGTTAATACTTACCAAGCAAGATCTTTTAACATGTCTTTAACTGGCAATAAATAATAAGAAGCACTTTCATAACTCTCACTATGAATCAGGCATAGCTGACACATAGAGTTATGAAAGTGCTTCTTATGTTCTAAGCACCTTGTATACTAGTATATAGGGTTCCCCCCCAAAAATGTACACAGACTTTGAATAATTATTAACGCCAATGGTTTACATCTGAAAAGAAAGAAACATCAACTGAGCTATCAGAAAAAAAAAGTGTGTATACTTTTTTGGGGACACCTTGTATTATTCCCCATTAATAATTTATAAAGAAGCTCTCTCATTATCTGCATTTGATAGTTGAAGAAACCTAGAGACAGGTTAAATCACATGCCCCAGGCCCGAAGCTAAGGAGTGACAGGTCAGGAGTGTGTTACCCAGAAGCCTGCATCTTGAGTAGTTAGCTACTCGTGTTTGGTGGAGGGATGTTGGGTAAATGAGCCTTTGTCAGATAAAAGCACAATTCTAATCTTACTTCCCCATGTCATGAAAGGGTTAAAGTAACAGCACAATGTTTCTACCAAAGGTATTGTTTACCAACCATTTCTGTGGCTGGCAGTAAGTCAGTGCTTGTTACCTATAAATGCTTTCATTTCTTTAATGATCCCCAAATTTATATTTCTCCAGTGCCAAACACTGAGTAAAATCCAGTCTTCATTGGTAAATGAATTAGCTGGGTGTGTCTGTAAATGTTTCTGATGAAATTCAGTTTCATTTTTCTGAGGAGTCCACTGGAGCAAATGATAGTACTCAGCTCAATGAATCATGAGGGCACAAGCTGAGCTTCATTGACGTATTCACCATTTCTTTGACTGCGGATGTTGAAAATGTAGTTCTAACAATTATATTAGTATTCCCAACAAAACACAGAGCGTTGAATTTGTATTGCTGGGATGGTGGCACACATTTGGGTTAGTTTCTTTTTATATCTTCTTTCCTTTCATGTTGAAAATTGTTACACATGACCTTTTTATTATTATTGACATGACCAAATATATCTCATACTTTAAGTGAAAAGTTGGGACATCTGGCTACCACACATCCCTCATCTTGCTTATACTGTATTGTTCTATAGTATACACGTTTTAACATTTTATGGAATTTGGCAAGAAAAAAGAAACAGTGCTCAAGAGGCATCTTCTGTAATCTTAAATGGTGGACTTATCAGTTAGTTTGAAAATTTTATAAGCTTCTTAAATAATAATGAAATATTTGAATTTGATTCTTTAAAAAGTGGATTTTTCATGAAGATAGGCAAGTTAGTCAAACAAATAGACCCATAAGTCAGCTGATAGAAGAAACAATTGTTTTTAGGTAAATATGCTAAAATGTGTTATCACAGGGTATTCACCTTCATGCCTCAAACATATAATTACAGCTGCATAGCGAGGCTTGAAATAGAAAATGGAAAAATACGCAAGTGAAGGTTGAAAAATCTACAATGTGAAAAGAAGCAGAAACACAAAGAAAGATTCCCGAGTAGATGCTGAGCCAGGATGCCCACAGGGGAACTGGAATCACATACGGGCTTTAAATAGGGGTCATAGGGCTCTACACCTACATGGCTAATACTCCTGACTGCCGGTTCCAGAGGGATAGAGGAAGCCAGGAGCCACAAAGGCATACACTGTGTAATGTACCTAGCATAATGCCAGCTGCCTCAGGGAAATAGCGAAGACATTTTTGTCCACCATCTCTCTGAATTCTCCACTCTGAATCCCATCCTAGTCACCTCTTGGGAGCTGGCAAGTTGAATAAAGGAAGCCTTCTTCTGCCTCAAAGCCTTCACCCCTATTGTCTCCTCCTTGATCTTTGTTCTCTGCTCTGGATCTTCCTCCTCTTCTCTGTGTCAGGCCATTGCTCAAATGTAGTTTTCTCAGAAAGGCCTTTTCAAGCGCATGTACAAAACAGCATCAGCCTTCCCAGGCCAAGACTCTGTCTGCTTTACACTGCTTTAGATTCCACACAGTGCTTTTCATCATCTCACAGTTGACACATTTGCCTTGGCTGGTTTGGCTTCATGGATAGAGCATCCGCCTGTGGACTGAAGGGAACAGGGTTCAATTCCAGGCAAGGGCACATACCTCGGTTTCTGGCTTTATTCCCGTTCCTGGTTGGGGCGAATGCAGGAGGCAACCAATCCATGTGTGTCTCTCACATCGAGGTTTCTCTTTGTCTCTCCCCTTCTTTAAAAATAAATGCATCCCTTCCATCTGTAGTTTTCTGATTTTCTCTTCCTTTCTAGAGAAACTTCCGAAAGTAGATTTCACGGCTTTTCCCCACATCACAAAACTCTCATCCACTAACACCTCAACTCTAATATGGCTCTTCCCTTAACATTTTACTGAAATTTATTATTTTGTAGGTCACAAAGACCTCTGTGTTATGAACCCAAGATGAGTGTGTGAATTCTTATCTCACATAAGCTCTCTGCAAGAAATGACATTTCAGGGCATTTTTTTTCTATTTTGGAGTTCTCTTCATCATGATGGTCTTTCATGATATATTTTTAAACTTTATTTTTTTAACTTCTCTAGCCCCTGTATTTTTTTCTTTATCTACCTACTTTTTAATAGTGCTATTCTAGCCCTGACTAGTGTGGCTCTTTTTTAAAAAAATTATTTTATTATTTTATTATTTTAAAAAATATATATTTTATTTATTTTACACAGAGAGGAATTGAGAGGGACAGAGAGTTAGAAATGTTGATGAGAGAGAAATATCAACCAGCTGCCTCTTGCACCCCCACCACTGGGGATGTGCCTGCAACCAAGGTACATGCCCTTGACCGGAATTGAACCCGGGACCCTTCAGTCCACAGGCCGACGCTCTATCCACTGAGCCACACCTGTCCCGGCTAGTGTGGCTCTTTTGGGTGGAGCATCGTCTGGTACACCAAATGGTCGTGGTTAGAGTCCTGCTTGTTTGATCCCCATTCTGGGCACATAAGGGAATAAGGGAGGTAACACATTGATGTTTCTCTCTCTCTCTCTCTCTCTCTCTCTCTCTCTCTCTCTCTCTCTCTCTCCTCTCTCTCTCTCTCTCTCTCTCTCTCTCTCTCTCTCTCTCCTCTCTCTCTCTCCTCTCTCTGTCTCTTCTCTCTTCTCTCTTCTCTCTCTCTCTCCTCTCTCTCTCTCTCTTTCTCTCTCTCTCTCTTCCTCTCAAACCAATAAATAAAAAATATTGCCAGTTAGCATATCCATGTTCAACCCTTTATTTAACTTTCCTTATTCTATAGAATTTTATTGATATCCATTAGTTCAATTGTCACTCTTACATTCATAAGTCTCCATCATGGGACAAAATAATGTTTAGATTCTGTTTTACCACATACAACAAACAATTATTTAATATACAACTGATCCTCAAATTCAATAAATTAAAAAGACAAGTTTAGCTCTCTAATCTCAAATATGATTTTCCTGAGATGTTCCTTATTGTTGCATAGCTACTTGAAAACAAAATATTATCAAACTCTTCTTTTCTCTTTGTACCCATTATAATGGCTTTGGGCTAGCCTATTAGTCCTTGTATTCATATATTAATAATGTAACAGACAAGTCTTTTGTTTCTTCCCCCAATTATTGTCTAAAATGTTGGCATAGCTCAAGTTTTCTGAAACAATGAACTTATTTTAGTCCTTGTATGCTCAGAATCCTTTAGTGACTTTGCTTGTCCTTAAACATAAAAATAGAATCTCTGACCATCCAAATCTGGTTCCTGCTCACCCATTCTCATTATCCTTCTACAGAGCATGCATTAATTACTCTCATATTTATTTATTTTCTTTGAACCATGAGTTCCTTGATAATGGCGTCTATGAAATAGCTCCTGAGTCCCAATTCCTAGAAAAGTGTCCCATGTCTAAAATATACCCTGATGGTGGTCATTATGTAGGTAATTCAGTACTTGGCACATCATGGTGGTGCTCAATAAAATGTGAGGTTCATAATATTGTTGAGTCTGGTCTGTATGAAGAAGGTAGGGCTGGGGGAAAAAGTAAGGAACTTGTGAGATTCTTTTTTCCTAAAGTAATGTTTAATTAAAGATAGATGATCCAGTTTAACCAAAGTAGAAATAGGGTGAGTTCCCTCTCATTGATACATAGAGGAATACCTCTATCAAAGAATTAGTGTGTAATTCTTTTTCTTTTATATATGTATGGTTCATCACCATTTCTCCTCCCTATATTCTTCTCTACCTCCAAATCATAGTTTTCCTGGGCCTCAGTTTCTTAACTATAAAATGATTGTGTAGTGTTAGATATTTTCTCCAGCATCATTTAGTTCTGACTCTGCTATGAGACCAGGTGTGATTTTGTGGTTTTATTTTAATGAAACACATTAACTTTTCAGTCCTCAAAGGAATACTTTTCTTAGCACTCACACATAGTGTGCACCCTAGTGTCTGTCCTATATCTCAGTATGTTTTGCCCTGGGGAAATCACCGTGTGGTGATGGGAGAGAATATTTCTCATTTGCATCAGTCTTATATAAAGAGAAAAATGGTATCATAACTCTACTAGATTTATTTCCTGCTAACTTTAAAAGCTAAAAAATGCTTGAAAAATATCCCCAATGTCACTGATTAGAACATCCTGTGGAGACAAACTTTTTCTAAACGACATTTGAAAGCTTGCGAAGGGCAAAGAACAGGAGAATTGGACTATCCAATGAGTCACTTTATGATTTCAGGCTGAAATTGGCTACCTTCTGTGATAAATTTTTGTGGAACAAACAGGACAAGGTGAGTTGTTCCCAGCTATGAGCAAATTCCCTATTACTAATTTAGAAAGGGGAGGGATAACAGTGTGGAAAATTATGGACTTATTTAAATAACTAAATGTGCAATAAAGAAATATGCCAAGATTTTGGCGACAATACTTGAAAGAGTTTTGGATAAATTAGTAAACAGGGACCAAGTTGGATTTATGAGGCACAAAATAATTACAGACAGTATGAAGAAGAGTTTTATGTTAATTCAAATTGATGGTGATACTCAGACTTCAGTGTTTGCAAATCCTGCTAATATTCAGGAAGAATGGAATAAAATAGAAACAGCTTAGCAAACATTGGGTTATGTAAGTTCATAAGAAGTCTATTTTTTAAAATATATTTTATTGATTTTTTTACTGAGAGGAAGAGAGAGGGATAGAGAGCTAGAAACGTGATGATAGAGAAACATTGACCAGCTGCCTCCAGCACCCCCCCCCCCACCAGGGATGTGCCTGCAACCAATGTACATGCCCTTGACCGGAATTGAACATGGGGCCTTTCAGTCTGCAGACTGACGCTCTATTCACTGAGCTAAACCGGTTTGGCAGAAGTCATTTTTTTAAAGATACTATTATTGTAGCAAAATAGGTTGTATATTTATGCTGGCAAACAACCAACATAAAACATGCAGATAATCAATGGATTACTACCTAATGGGAAAAGCATGGATGGATGATTGAAATAATTGTCCTCCCTTTTTTCTTCTGGATGGGCTGCAAATTGAAAGATCTTATTAAACAGTTTATATTTATTTTTCTCTTTTTAAAATTTAGTTGTGTGATTTGAGAATGACTTAAGTCATCAGTATGACACGTTTTAAATTATATATTTCCAGTCCCAAGGATCTAAACTAATTTAGGAGCTGCAAATTTAAAATGCTGATGGTGCTGTATTCTCACCAGGTCTAAAGGAAATTTGAGTGAGATGCGTGTAATCTTTTTGACTGAGCTAATTAGCATTTGAAACTTCATAGAATTAAAAAAAACAAATCATGTCTGTTATCAGCAGGGAGGTATATTAGAATTAGAAGAGTTCTCCTCCTACAGAACAACTAACTCTTGCACAAAAATACATTGTTGTTTTTAAAGAAATAAGGGGGAGGCTGGCCAGTGTGGCTCAGTGGTTGAGTTTGGACCTATGAACTAGGAAGTCACAGTTTGAGTTCCTGTCAAGGCACATGCCCGGATTGCAGGCTTGATCCCCAGTGTGGGGCATGTAGGAGGTAATGATCATTGATTCTCTCTCACCATCAATGTTTCTATTTCTTCCTCTTCCTTCCTCTCTGAAATCAATAAAAACATATTTTAAAAAGGAAATTTCAGTAAATAACTAGCAAATTTCCTTCTGAAGCCAGGTGGCAAATGAAGACCAGGAGGAAGGAGAAACTCGCTAGAAAAAAGTGAGCTCTGACTTCTCATTTTTCTCTCTTTTTTTTTAAAATTGTTTTTTCCTAAATATGCTCATCTTTGATATTATTTCAAGGAGATAGTTTTGCAAAGCTTATGTTTCCTTATTTATGGAAGAACACATCAAGAGTGTGTAACATAATTGCCCAGAAAGTTATTTTTAACCACTTCGGTTACATTGCTAAGATAATACTGAATTTCTGATTCTAATAGCAATTATTCCATAACAACTAGTGACTTTGTATTAGATTCATTGCCAAATAAATGGAACACATCCCTGAAATTTTGAGTCATGTGCTTTGTTCTTTGAACTGTTTATGAGTAGAACGGAAGTGAATGCATTTGGCATTTTACTATTTATGTAGATTTTTCTAATATATTGTGTGTAGTATACTATCAAACTAATCATACCATTAATTTTTGCTTGTGAAAACATAATTTAGCATCATATATTTATTTATATCAGGTGTGGGGTGCTTCAGGCATGCAGGATATATAAGGCCCCTGAAATAATTTGATTTGGTGAGTTAAGTGTTTGATCAAATAGAGCAGGCTAATTTTTTAAAAAACATTGATTTTTTACAGAGAGGAAGAGAGAGGGATAGAGAGCTAGAAACATAGATGAGAGAGAATCATGGATCAGCTGCCTCTTGCACACCCCCTACTGGGGATGTGCCCGCAACCAAGGTACATGCCCTTGACCGGAATGGAACCTGGGACCTTTCAGTCCGCAGGCCAATGCTCTATCCACTGAGCCACACCGGTTTCGGCAGAGCAGGCTAATTTTTAATTTGCTAGTTTTATATGGCCCACAAATGATATTATAAGTATCCAAATGGCCCTTGGCAGAATAAGGATTCCCCGCCCCTGATTTATATGATATAGAAAATTTGAATGCTTCTCTTCATTATTAAACTATTTTAAATGTCCATATATTTCATATAACATTTTGAAAGAAACAGAAAAGAGAAGGCTGGTACACCTTTTAGTATATAGTTCAATGTAAACATTTGCCTTCATCCACCCTGAAAAATATTGTGATTTTGTTTAAATGACTCACCCTCCTAGAAATTTACATTGGAAATATGACCCTCATAGCTAAGAAAATATAAAATTGCCACAAAATGGAAAATGAATTACAGTATAAAAGGTCATTTGTAACATTTCTGACAGTTCAGAACATTAGAAGGTCAAAAATCAAAGACACATTGTCCTGTGCTGAAAACACCATGATTTAATCAAGCACTGTGTAGGTTTCTGTGATTCAGAATAATTCTACTGTCTCTAAATCAGGCATTCAGATAGGTAAGCCACAGTTTTAATAAGAAATGAGTCAAATATTAGAAAAATGTTGCTTTTATTCCTTGTTTTCTTAGAAGCAAATGTAACTTTCCAACATAAAACATGTCCTTCCACTATGTTCTGTTTCTTATTTATTTGCACAATTGATGTATATTCTCCACATCACTGAAATGCCTGTCAAAATGTATCATAACATAGAAGCGTAACAATTATAAATTCAAGGATAGTTTAACCTTGAAATTAATTGAATGCAAATTTCAAATGGTCTTTATGGTACATTATTACATTTAGTGCAACTACTTACCCCCCCTCCCCCTCAGTACTCTTACTTTAAGACTTAGTGGCCCAGTGCATGAAATTCTTGCGCTTGGAGGAGGGGGGTGTCCCTCAGCCCGGCCTGCACCCTCTAGCAGTCGGGAGCCATCATTTGGACATCCTTACCATGGCTGCAGAGGTGGGAGATGCTGCTGGCACCACTGCTACCCTAGTCAGCCTTGAGCCTGGCTTCTAGGGTCCACCAGGGGGCAGCTCCTGCACAGAGCATCTACCCCTGGTAGTAAGTGTGCATCATAGTGACTGGCCATTCTGCTGTTCACTCCATTTTCATATTACCCTTTTGTTATGTAGGATTAGTGCCAGCCAGTTGCAGGCACCCAGTTCCCAGGTTTCCCTCCCTCTGGCTGGCCACAGGCACCCAGGACCCAGGATGGCTTTGCCCAGGCTGGCCGAAGACGCAGGGGACTGTGCGTGGGCGGCTTCGCCCGGTGGCTTGTCCCTCTCCTGGGCTGAAACCTGGCTGTTCCCCATTCTTCTCTTGAAAGCTCGTTTGTGCCTGACTGTTCCTCATTCCTCTCTCCCCAGTGTTCAGTGTCTGAGCCTTCATGCTGTGACAGAGTGAGGGCATGATGACAATTTGCATATTAGCTCTTTATTAGGTAGGATTAGGAAAATTAGGTATTTTATTCTGAGAGCTAATTCATACAATCAATACAGTATAGCATAGCTGAGCAAAATCATCCAAAGATAGTATGACTCCAATTAGACATAGAGTCCAAAGGAAAAAAATAATTGCTTAGTTGTAAAGCTTATTCAGAAAGGGTGTTAGTAGCAAAAGCCACTTAAGAAATTCAGCTATCCACTGTGCAAACCCAGACTAGTCTTCATGTTGAAGGTTACCATGACCTTTAATTCAATTTATATTTAATTTCAATATAATTCACTTTTTTGACATCCCATGAAACTATGTTTTCTTCCTGAAATCTCCAGAGATGCTTGGCGATCTGGGCATTTCATCTGTTTGCCTGCCACTCAGTCTTACTTCTGGTCAGTCTCCCTTTTGTTTCCTGCTGAGCTGACCATCCTTCCTTACTCCTCCCAGGTCCTTGGCAAGTCTCTCCATCTTCGCATAGCACCACCCACATGAGAGCCAGTGCATCACGGTATGAAATTTGTGTGTGGGTAGCAATTAGAACACAGCACAGCATACAGCTCAGTCCCCCAGCAGCCATATCTAATCGCTGCATCATTGCACAATTCAGTTGTCCTTGAAAAGCCTTAGCTTTGCAGACGTCCTGTTCTTATTCATTTTGGTTTTCTTTCTCTTGAGCAAAAACCTCCTTGCTCTCTGTATGGAGAGTAATTCACTACCCTCCAAACCAGCCATGTGCCTTCTTTGCACAGGAAAAATTCCTAAGACTGACCTATTAAACAGAAGGCCAGTGGGCAGTACCAGAACTTCACATCTGCTGATAGTGTTAAATGTTAGTTTCCTAGGGCTGCCTTAACAAAAACGCGGTGCTTTAACAACAGAGATTTATGTTTACAGTTCTGGAAGCTAGAAGCCCAAAATTCAGATGGATGCAAGGTTGGTTCTTCCTGGAATTTCAAAATTTACAAAGGTGCCCTCTTCCATCTTCTGCCAGGAATGACAAAGTTAACAACTGGAGATAATTTTAGACCTCCACCAGCTTAGAGATTTCACTGGAGGGGTTTATCAGGTGTACCAGTTCCTAATGCGGGATTTTTTTCAATAGACGGAGTTACCCATATGTTGATATGTATGCTATTTTGTTGTATTGATAGCAAGCTTCAAAACTTCATATGTCAAATTTTCTGAAGGCGTTGACTACAGGTATTTTTACACTTAAAAATGTTGAATTCTATGCGGAAAAACACACACACACACAACAAACAAAAAAAACACATTTGCAGGAAGTTTTAATTCCTTACTTTATTTTGTAGTAAAGTGCTACAGAATACTTCTGGAAGCTTATGGTGAACATGCTCCATCTCAAGATACTGTGAATGCTGGTTTAAAAACTTTAAAAGGGATGATTTCCATGTGAAAGACAAAGACATCCAGGTTAACCAAAAAAGTTGGAAGGCCAACAATGACAAGAATTATTGGATAAAGATGCGTGTCAAACCAAAAACAACTTGCAAAAAGATTAAACGTTGCTCAGCAAACAATTTCCAATTTACAAGCAATGGGAAAGATTTTAAAAGAAAGAAAATGGGTGCCACATCAACTGAATGAAAGACAAATGGAAAATTGAAAAGTCATCAGGAAAATGTTGCTTCAATGGGATGAAAGAAAGTCTTTTTTACATCAAATTGTGACTGGCTATAAAAAGTGGATTTATTTTGAGAATCCCAAATGCACAGAATCATGGGTTGATCCAGGTTAACCATCAACATCTACTACAAGGCCACATGGCTTCAGAAAGAAGACAATGCTCTGTGTTTGGTGGGATCAGGAAGGTGTGGTGTATTATGAGCTTCTAAAACCAGGTGAAACCTTAATACTGATGGCTGCCGACAACAAATAATCAATTTGAACCACACTTTGATTGTGAAAGGACCAGAAGATACAGCAAAGTAATTTTGTTTCGTGATAACGCACCATCACACACTTCAAAACCAGTTAAAGACACATTAAAAGATCCTGCCTGGGAAGTATTAACCCACCCGCCATATTCACCAGACCTTGCTCCTTCAGATGACCACGTGTTCTGACACATGCACTTTCTGAACAGCACTTCTAAATGTACGAAGAAGTGGAAAATTGGGTTTCTTCCAAAACAAGAAAAGTTCTATTGGGACAGTATCCACAAATTACCTGAAAACTTGGGAAATGTGTAGCTAGCAATGGACATTACTTTGAATAAAGCACTTGATGTTTCTCTTGAAATTATCATGTTTTATTTGATTGCAAAAATCTGCATTATTAACCAGTACAACTGGTATATAACAAACTTGACTAGCTGGGCACTATCTGTCTGTCCTTAACTATATATTTGCCATCACCTGCTCACAGTTTCCCAGTCCTAGAGACTCCAGGTCCCGTTTTTTGCTTCTTATAAGGCCAGGTTCTAACAAAAATTTACAGTTCCTCATCTGTACACTCCCATGTGGTACCTACAAGATGAACGTTAATCAACATGCTTGTTTTTCTTTTGTTAATCTCACTTTGGTACTAGCCATATATAGCTTTTTAAAAAATTAAATTAAAATTAATTAAACTTAAATATAATTAAACATTTAAACCCTCAGTTGCATTAGGGATGTTTCAAGTGCTCAGTAGCCTCTTGTGCTAGAGGCTCCTGGATGGCCCAGCACGGCTGTAGAATTCTTCCGGAAGTCCCGTGGACCAGCATTGCCTGGAGGGTGGACTCCTGCTCACTCTCTTGGCCAAGATTCATTTCCCTTTTCCCTTATGGCCCTTTAACTGAAGCTTGGAGAATTAAGCATCCTAATTTTCAATGCTGTAGTTTCCTAATTTGCATATTGTTACCCTCTTTAGTACTTTTCTCTTCAATTTAATAGCTCTACTCATCTATATAGGTTCTGTGGGATTTCCCCTAGAAATGCATTTAAGAATGTGATTATTTTAATGTATTCTGCATCCATGAGTTTTCAGATTTGCACTGACCACCAGGGAGTGGCACAGAACAAAGGAAGGTCCTAGCCCGCAGCTGAAAGCCGGAAGCCCCCAATCAGCCCTAGGGACCTTACCTGTGCACCGGGCTCTACTAATAATATGAATTATGAAATAGTAGCTTTATATATTTTCAAGATGTATGAATTTTTCCAGCACTATGCATTGAACAATACATCATTTTCACTGATGATAAAAATTCATTGATGTTTAGTGCTAGAGGCGGCCTACACATGAGAGGGTCTGTTTATTCTCCCTCCCTTATGATTTGTCTGTCTAATCCTGTATCAGGACCGGACTTCTAGGATTTTCAGAAGTTTAATGATCTTTTTCTTATTCAATCTTTTTATGTTACTAAAGGCCCAGTTCATGAAATTTGTGCACTGGGAGGGCTGTTCCTCAGCTCAGCCTGCACTCTCTTCAATCTGGGACCCCTTGGGGATGTCTGACTGCCCATTTAGGCCCGATCCCACAATTCCAGAACGCTGGCTCCCATCTGCTTGCCTGCAAGCCAGCCTGATCACCCTTGACCACTCCCCTGCCAGCCTGGTTCATGCCTAACTGCTCCCCTGATGGCCCGATTGTCTGCAACTGCCCTCCCCTGCCAGTCTGGTCACTCCTAACTGCCCTCCCCTGCTGGCCTGATCACCCACAACTATCCTCTGCCGGCCATCTTGTGGTGGCCATCTTTGACCACATGGTGGTGGCCATATTGTGTGAGCTTGTGAGGTCCAATTTGCATATTACGTCTTTATTAGATAGAATTGTTAACATCCATGTGTAGGAACATTATAATTTACTTCTTTAAAAAATGACATTGTCATTTTTAATGGTAACAGATTAGGTTTTAAATATTTAGCTCAACATGCTATCATATTGAGCCTTTGTAGATACAGCATATTGCCTTTTAATTGATTCAGGTTTTAATTTTATGTCCCACAAGAGAGTTTTAAATTTTATTTTATGAATCTTGCATATTAATTTTTAAATATATTACTTTATGCTTCATCCTTTCTTGTTGCTTTTATATGCTTCATCCTTTCTTGTTGCTTTTATACTTAGTCAAGCCGGTTTCATTGGTGACAGAGGAAGGTAATTTCAATGTCCGCCTCCAAGGAATTGCTCTTATTTCTAAAAATATCTTTACATTGATTGATGTTAGTTTTCCAGGCATACAATATGGTTTTTGGTAAATAATAATTGATTCACCTGTTTCTTACCTCATTTCTCTCTTTTATATAATTACATAAGCTACTGTGTCCAAAATAATGTTAAGCAAGAGTAGAAATAGTGACTATCATGCAGTGTTTCTAAATTTTCCAAGAACAGTGGTTTGTGCATTAGTACATAAGTATAATATTATGGATATTTATTTGGCAATAGAAAAAATTTAGAGCTTATAATACAATATTATAATTTTACTGTATTATAATATATACTATATTTATACTATAGTATTATAATACTATCAATATTATACTATACTTATACTATAGGATGTATAAGTAGGTATATACTTGTTTGTGTGGAAATTAATACAATAATAATTATAATACAAGGATAAGTTCTATATCATGTACTCATAACTGTAAACCTACTTTCCCCCCTCCCTGTATATTATTACTATAGTATTATAGTCCTATAAGTTCTATATTTATAAATATGTTTAATATTTTGCTATATTTTCTAATATTAGACAAATATCCTCAATCTTAAACTTATTAGGTACTAGTATTTAAATAAAATGTAGAAGTTATACTTTTATCAAATACCTTATTAACATTTAAATATTTTTTAATTTTTATATTTGAGTCTATTACTTTTATATTTTATATTTGAATCCATTATTGTTCATATTATCTTACTAGAGTACTTCAATTTTGAATTATATATGAATCCAATAAGACTCTAATTAATATTGGATTATTGTTTTTTATTATGCTCCTTATTCTGTTGGCTAATATTTAATTTAGGATTGATGTTCAGTAGTGAAATTGCTTTATGACTTTTCCTTGTTGTCTTTTACCTATGCTTAGATTCATTACAGATGTTCTTGAACATTTTAAATAATTGTTATGTTATTTAAATAATTGATAGCATTCCATTAATTTATAATTTGTGCCTTATCTATATTATAAAAAGCCAGTGCCCAGAATGCTGTAACGACCCAGCAGCCGGTCACCGGGAGGAGTGGTGGGTCCTGCAGATGGTGGCGGGAGCAGCTCTGGGTCTGCAATGGTGGAGGGACTCTGCCTTTGGCAGTGGCAGGACTCAGGTCTCGTGCGATTTCGCGTGCTGGGCCTCTCGCCTTAAATGCTTGTGTATCTGGAGATGGAAGGTGAGGGGTGTGTTTTGTCAAGTTTCTCTATTCCTTCTGTGGTAAGCTTTAGGTTTCTTGAGTGGGTTATCTTAGATTATATTATCCACATTTGCAAATTAATGTTTATAGAGATGAGTCAAACAGCAATTCTTTAATGTCAGCTTCTGTGAAAATTTGCATCTTTTACTTTTGTTTAGTGCAGTGGTCTGCAAACTGCTGCTCTTGAGTCACATGTGGCTCTTTGGCCCCTTGAGTGTGGCTCTTCCACAAAATACCATGTGCGGGCAGGCACAGATAGTGTGATTGAAACTTTGTGGCCCATATGCAGAAGTCAGTTTTTGGCTCTCAAAAGAAATTTCAATCATTGTACTGTTGATATTTGGCTCTTTTGACTAATAAGTTTGTCGACCACTGGTTTAGTGTATTTGTTTTTTTATCCTTTTTAACTTAGATGATTTATCTGTTTTAGTCTTATTTTTTCTATAGACTCCTCTCTCAGAAACTTAACTAAATTCTATTTCTTATTTCAATTTTATATTTATTACATTTTCAAATATATTCTTCTTGCCTTATTGCTCTTCAATTTTTTAAGTTGGATATTTATTATAATTTTTTCTATGTATTAATTGAATTGTTAGACTATTAAATATTTCTTTAAGCACTATTTTAGATATGCCTCATAGGGTATTAAATGAAATATTTTATTGTTGATTTCTAGGCAGTCAATATATGCCTGTTAATCGTTAAGCTCTTGATATAAAAAAAAATGATGAATTTCCACTATTGTCTCACATTCTAGAATACTCATGTCTTTCAAAGCACTGATAGGTCATGTGTATTTGTTTTTGTGTTAGTCAATGAGACAATATATGTTATATATTAGGATTTACTAATATTTATAGAGTTATTTTAATTTTTTCTTGTTTAAAAATTACATAAGTCTCTTAAGATCCTTTAAATTTCAAACATTATATGATGATTTTAAGTGGATTGGAATATTTCTCTGTAATAAAATAATCCTATGAGGTGGGGAGAGGAAGCCAAGTCAACGTACACTTTGTACTTTTTCTGTTAGAGAAATAATAAAGTCATAGAAAGTCATGGGCAACCTGCCATCAGAGGAGTAGTAGCTAGTTTACACACGAGTAAAACAGGCCAGGAAGGGGAGGCCCAGGCCTACAGCATCCTCTTGCTTAAAAACAGGCCTTCCCGTCCATTCCCTGTAACTCCCATTCCAGAGGGGAAACCCATCAGCCACGGTTAACACCTCCGGCTCCGGCACTCTCTC